GGACTCGGTATTTGACTTGACCCTAGCTGATAATGAGTCTTGGCAGAGGAAAGATATTCCAGGTGGAAAGAAGAAAATAAAGATCAGAAAACTCAAGAAGGGTACACAAATTGTAGCTATGAATAGCTTCAAGAGAGGTAATGGGTGGCTTTAATGAGTGGGTCTCCCCAAGAGCCAAGGAGTCTCAAGGCTATCAGCTGCTTTCCCTCCCTCAAAAGAAATGCATGGCAATTTTGTTTTTTGGTGTACATGTATGACTGATATATGCACACTGTATGTGTGTGCATGCCTGTGCACAGGCAGAGGCCAGAGGAGGATGTCAAGTGTCCTGCTCTACCACGTGCCTCCTTATTCCCTTGAGACAGGCTCTCTCACTGAACCTAGAGCTAGGCCAGCAGCCAGCAAGCCCCAGTGATCCTCCTGTCTCCTACAGCACTGGGGTTATAGGCACATGCATGGCCACACTCGGCTTTTTACCTGCGAGCTAGGGATTCAAACTTAAGTCCTCATGTTTGAGCAGCAAGCACTCTTACCCACTCAACCGTCTCCTCAACTCCCAATTCTACTTACTACTATCTTGATGTGAGGCTTAATTATAGGTGCATGCAAAATGTAATATGTTACAGGATGCACTATGATTTCCAAAGAGCAATATTTGGAGCTATATAAGGTGAATCCTTGGATTCCCTTCATTAGCTTGATTTTAAGTAGTAAAATAATGTTTATAGAGAAGTTTCACTGAATTCTACAGCCTGTACCCAGAACTCTGGAATTCTCCCTGATAACTTATATCTCCCAGGTCATCACGGTTGCAACCCAAAGTGGGAATTCAGGGCAGGAACCTGGAGGCAGGAGCTGAAGCACAGGCCATGGAGGAACGCTGCTTACTGGCTTGCTTCCCTGGCCCCTGCTCAGCCTGCTTTCTTATACAATACAGAACAAACTGCTCAGGGGTAGCACCACCCACAGTGGGCTGGGCCCTCCCACATCACTCAACAATCAAGAAAATACCCCACGGACATGGCCATAGGCCAGTCCAAGGGAGGTAATTCCCCAGTTGAGGCTCCATCTACCAAGGTATGTCAAGTTGACAACTATCTAGCACAATCCCGTACAGTTATGTGGGTTTATTATTACTTTTATTTTATTTTATTTTTTTATCTTTTTGAGACAGGGTTTTCCTGTAGCCCCAGCTGGCCTGGAACTCACTATGTAGACCAGGCTGGCCTCGAACACAGAGATTCTCCTGCCTCTGCCTACCAAGTGCTGGGATTAAAGGCATGTGTCACCACGCCTGGCTATTATTACTTTTATTAACCAATTTTTTTTTAATTCATTTTATTTTTATTGTTTGTTTTGAGACAGTCTCACCTTGTAGCACTGACTGGCCTGGAACTCATTATGTGGACCAGGCCACCCTTGAATTCACAGCGATCCTCCTGCCTCGGCCTCCAGAGTATTAGGCTTAAAGGTGTACGCCACCACGCCCAGCATGGTGCTGTAACTCTTCATAAGTCCAATCCACATAAGCAGAAGCTCTTTGAGAGTCTCAATTAATTTTTTAGTGTATAAGGAAGGCGTCTGAGATCAAAAAGCTTGTGCCACTGCCTTATACGCTTAGCAGGCAGAGTAGAGCTTTAACAGGAAAACGTCTGCACTGTTACACACTGATTCTACCAAATCAATGATCTTTTTATAAGCCTCTGTCCCCCACCTCACTGTATACTCTGTCGGGAGCCATGCTTGCCATAAGCATTGGAAATTAGGAGAGTGTCACTTTAAGAGCTTCTGAGCTCTCTGCTTCAGTGGTCAGAGCTGACAGGCTGTACCTGGATGATAAATCAGGACTTCCAGAAAGTTTCAGTTCAGCATTCGTGCTATCTCTATAGTAACCCTTTTGTTTCTGTTGGGAAGATTCACCTGGGTAACCCAAACTCCGGGCCGGATAAAAAGGACCTGTGGGACCCCTCAAGGGATTCTTCCTTCTAAAGAGCGCTCTCCTCTCTGTACCTGCTGTCCCTTTAATAAATTCGTCACATAACTTCAGACCTATGCCTGAGTGTCCTTTTTGTTGAAGACCCAAGCCATATACCTTATAATATCAAAGTAGAAATCCCAGATGGATGAATGAGAGTAAAGATAAGCCCATGTGGACAGACAGCACAGGCAGAAGAGGCGAGTCTATACATACTGAGTGGACAGAGAGATACATTTGGGGTGTGTGTACATGTTCATGTGTGTGCAGCAACATGTGTGTATATGTGTATAGAGGCCAGAGGTCAACTTTGGGTGCTGTTCCTCAGGACACAACTTATCTTATTTTTTTGAGACGGGGTTTGTCACACTGGCCTGGAGATCACCAAGTAGGCTAAAGTGGCAGGCCAGTGAGCCCCAGGGATCTTCCTGTTCCCATCTCTCCAGTGATGGGACTACAGTCACTATACAATACTATATAATACTATGTCCAGCTTTTTTAAACAATGGATTTGGAGATCAAACTCAGTTCTCATGCTTGTACAGAAAGTACTTTACAAACAGTCATCTCCGCAGCCCCAGATATTGTTTTTTTATATTCATTTATTTATTTATTTGTATGTGTATATGTGTGTGGATGCATGCATGCCATAGCATGCATATGGAGGTCAGAGACCAACTTATAAGAGTCAGTTCTCTCCTTCCACCCTTTCAGATCTGGGGATTGAACTCAGGCCATCAGGCTTGGTGGCCAATTCCTTTACCTACTGAGCCACCTCACTGGCCCCACATGTACTGTTTTTAATTGGTTCAAAATTTTTCTGAGCCTCTGATTTGAATTTAGATGTAAATATGCACATTTTTAAAACATAGAAAATTCAAAAAATTCCAGGTCAGCTGGGGCTACAGGGAAACCCTGTCTCAAAAAGATCAAAAATAAAAAGAGAAATTCAAATAAAAAATCAACCTAAGAGATAATTCTGTTTCTACTTTGTTTCAGAGGCATACATGCAAGCTAATAGCCAGTGAATACATCATGCTGAGGGAGGGATGCCATAAATATAGCCAAAATGATTTGTCCCAGAACTGAAATGTAGCCTGGACAATGTTCTGAACATAGAAAAGAAATACAAACACACGTGAAACAGAAGACACCATAACGTCAGGATGAAGAGAAGGTCATGTGATCAGGACAAGGCCTGCCAACAGTGAGGCTTCTCCATCCTTTCAGAGTACTGTCCAAAGCAAACTGCACTCCAGAACCTTGGCCTGTTACTGTGTCTGCCTTCCTATTTTGAGATGATCCTTCAACCTTGTTTGTGAGCAAACAGCCTCCCCACATATCTGGGAGCCCCACATATAAGGCTCAGAAAGCAGAAAGGCAACTACACACAGCATGCCACTTCTAAGCACAAGATGTGGATCTGCCCTGTCCCACCCACTTTGCCCCTGACTCATTCCCCAGCAAAATGAGAAAGGGTTAAGTGATGTTGGATGTGGAGACTGGGGCCTTTGGACAAACAGGGGTCCATCTCCTGTCTCAGAAGTCCAAGGGTTATCCCTACAGAGACTGACTTATATATGTATGCATGTGTGTGTGTGTGTGTGTGTGTGTGTGTGTGTGTGTGTGTGTGTTAGAGACAGAGAGACAGAGAGAAACAGAGACTGAGACAGAGAGAGGCCGAGACAGAGACAGAGCAGAGACAGCAAGAGACTCAGAGCCAAGAAGTATAGTTTCCAGTAACATCAGTGGTAGCTCATCCTGAGACTAGCCTCATTAGCTCATCAGAAACCCAATTGTGGGACTGGAACATGGCTCCATAGTGCAATGCTTGCCTAACACGTACAAAGCCCTAAGTTCTACTTCAAAAATCACAAAATAGTAAAGGTAAACTCAACTATGCAGTCACAGCTGGTGACTTACGGAAGCATCAAGATATGTTCAGTTATTTCCATGTTTTAAATAGCTATAATGTTTATCACATAAACATCTTGAAATTGTTTAGTAGACCCTTTAGTCAATGTACTAAGCATTTCCAAGTGCTTTTCAATATATGCAGATGGCTCATGTTTATGTCACCATGGAGCAGGCACCAGCAGATGACTAAAGATATGGAGGACCCAGGGTCAACATTCAGTCAACATCAGTGAAGACTCTGTCCTCTCAAAGCAGGGCTCTTCAGTCCCTTTGGTCCTTGGTTGTAATTTCAGATGTGGTTCCCCAAGTATTTTTTCTAGGAGGTCAGAGTCTAACGGCTGCCTGAAAGCTAGAAAGGTAAAGTACAGTTTCAAAGATCTTCATGGACAGAGTTGTGCTAAAGCCATCATTTAGCCCATACTTAGAATACCTTATTCATTTCTCATGACAGTGTTCGAAGGTGGCATTCCCATTCCCATTTTACAGATAAAGAAACTGAGCCTCAGAAGTCACCTTTAAGTAAGAGTGTCAGGACTTGAATCCAGATCCATGCTAAAGCAGGTTCCTTCTGCAGTGGCCAGCCTGCTTCTCAAACCAGCTGATTTATCTGTATGCTTCATGGCATTTCCTTTCTGAAGAAAATATGTTCAGTAGATGAAAACAACTAAGCCCTGATATTTTCCACTCCCGAGATCTTTGGATGCAGCTCCAAGGCCCCATCTCTCCCTGGGTCCTCTTTTTCCCATGCACCATGTCTAGGAAGATGAACAGACTTATCTGGACAAGTTTACAACAATTTTTCTCATAACACCCTTGTCCAGATAAGTTCAGAAAGGAGCTTTCCAGATGAAACCTCCATGTTTACTGGAGAAAAGTCATCATCCCCAGATTAAACCCAAAACTTTAAAAAATACAAGAGGCATAATTTTACTATGCCCTGCATCCTCAACTCCATATGGAACAATCATCAATGGGATCCCTGTCTCCACCCCTGGCCTCAGCACAGCCAACAGAGGACCCAGAGGCAAGCTCCTCAATGGAAGAGCTCTGATCCAGGGCTCTCCTCTAGCCACCCCATCACCAGCTACCACAGGCATTCCTCACTCACCCAGGAGTGCTGTCTGGGGGTGCGTCCGGGCATGTCTGCCTCTGGAGGGCAACCTGGTGTGGGGTCGTTCTCTGGCTCCTGCCAGTGTGGGGAGGAGGAAGAGCTGCCCAAGCAGCAGCAAGCAACCCACCAGCATCTTCTCCATTTTCAAGAGGAACAGGGGCAAGCCTGCAACACAAGAAGGGTGAGTGAGATCTCTGGGTGTCCCTGAAGCCTGGGTTCTGTAGCCCCATTACCACCATTTTCAGGTCCAGAAGATGCCACTTGTTTTTTTTCAATATTTTATTTATTATTTTTATTTTATGTGTATGAGTGTATTACCTGCATGTTTGTAAGTGCACCTGTGTTGTGCAGTGCTCATGGCGGTCAGAAGAAGGCATGAGAGCCTCTGGAACTGGCATTACAGATGGTTGTTAGCTACCATGTGGGGGCTGGGAATTGAACTCAGGTCTTCTGCAAGAGCATCCAGTGCTCTTAACCACTGAGCTATTTCTCCAGCCCACTTGTAGTAACGCCACTTGTAGTCAAAATGCCACTTATCTGTTTGTCTCTTTGGAATTTCAGGAAAATTCATTGGTAGGGTCCTCCAGAGCACCCTGGGCAGGACAAGGACCATGGAAAATATCATCACTTTGGTCACCAATCTACCCTGAAGGTTTTGTTTGTTTTTTTGAGTCAGTGTCTCACTGAGTAATCCTGGTTGGTTTGGAACTTGCTATGTAAAACAGGATGGCCTCTTACTGACACAGACCCTCCTGCCTCTGCCTCCTAAATGCTGGGATTAAAGGCCTGTGCCACCACACCTGAATTATCTTGAGGGGTTTTTTTGTTTTTGATTTTTTTTTTTTTTTTGGTCTTTTTGAAGCAAGGTCTCCCTGTAGCCCCATCTATCCTGGAACTCACTATGTAGACCAGGCTGGCCTTGAACTCATAGAGATCTGCCTGCCTCTGCCTCCCAAGTGCTGGGACTACAGACGTGCGCCACCATGCCCAGCTTGATTTTATTATTTTATGTGTATGAGTGTATTGTCTGCATGTATGTAAGTGCACCCATGTTGTGCAATACCCTCAGAGGTCAGAAGAGGGAGTTGGATCCCCTGGAACTGGAGTTAAAGACAGTTGTTAGCCACCATATGGGTGCTAAGATTCGAACCTGGGTCCTCTGCAAGAGCAGTCAGTGCTGTTAACCACTGAGACATCTCTGCAGCCTTGATCTTACTGTCAATTAATCATAGGCATATTCTGTATCTTGGAACTGAAAAGTGAAAATATGTATATATCATAATTCCAGGTAATAATGCTCCTTCATCTATTAATAACACATTGTACAAATTACTAAACATTAATGTCCCAAGAAATTCCTGTGGATGAGACATGTAGCATGACACAGCCAGTCTCCCCCGAAAAGCCTCCAACCTCCTGAATCCTTTTTTCTTTAAGATGGGATTTTGCTCTGTAGTCTAAGCTGGCCCTGAGCTCATGATTCTCCTACCTCAGCCTACTGTGTGCCACTACACTCAGCCTGCACACTAAGAGTTTGTGTGTACTCCATGCTAGGCTGGAGCCCCATGCCAGATACTACTAAATGCTTTACTTGTATTAACTCAATCAATTAACTAATATTCTTTCTACATTCCCCAAGGGCTCGGTGAGGGTAAGTAGCTTGCCCACAGTCATGGGACTGGCCCAGTATGTCTGGACTGGAGAGATGGCTCAGCAGTTAAGAGCACTGGCTGCTTTTGCAGAGGACCTGAGTCCAGTTCCCAACACCTACAACGCAGCTAACAATCATCCCTAACTCCAGTTCCAGGTTATCTGACACCCTCTTCTGGCCCCCACAGGCAGTGCATGGCACATGTGCATTTACATATATGCAGGCAAAACACTCATACACATAAAATAAAAATTAATAAACTCTTTATTGTTTTGAAATCCAAAGTGTCAGTTCATGAAAGGCTACCACAGCTGCTTCATTGTTATAGGCAGGGGCAGGGCAGGGATGGGCAAAGAGTAGTTCCCAGAACTTAAAAACAAACTGAGAACAACAAACCTGAATAACCGAGTACACTGTTCAGCAAATTGCTTTCAGAAACTGACCTACCAATAAACTAAGGCCTGTCACTTTTTACTGTGCATTAGAATTGCATTAAAAAGAGGGAATGTTTATTCAGCACTTACTATATGACAAGCACTGGGCCAAGTGCTCTAAAAGTACTAAGTGGAGCTGGGTATGGTGGCACACACCTTTAATCCCAGCACTGAGGAAGCAGAGGTAGGCGAATCTCTGTGAGATCGAGGCTAGCCTGATCTACATAAGGAGTTTCAGGTAAACTGGGGCTACAGGAAGATCCCACCTAAAGGAAAAAGTACTGAGGTTGGAGAGATGGCTCCCCATTTAAGAACATGTACTTTTATTAATCAAGTAATATTAATCAAGGGATTAATAACAAGGAAATGTGAAAAATAAGTAATAAAATTTTAAGATAAGTAAAAGAGGCAAGATAATCTAAGCTTTCTTCCATTTTTCAGAAGTAATCTGAGTTAAAGCTACTAAGTACTAAGTGGAGCCAGGCATGGTGATGCAGTCTTTAATCCCAGCACTAGGGAGGCAGAGGCAGATAGACCTGAGTTTGTTCCCAGCACCCACCAACAGGTGGCTCAGAACTGTCTTTAACTCTAGCTGTAGGGGAATCTGAGGCCCTCTGCTGGACTCTACTGGTACCTGCACTCACACATGCATATACCCACACACAGACACACATATATACACAATAGTTAAAAATAAAATAAATCTTTTTTTTAAAAAACACTGACTTAATTTTTAAAGTAATTCAGAGAAGTAATTTGCCTAAATTCATATGGCTTATAATGGATT